GGGTGAAAAAATGAAATTTTGAAATTGAAAATATTTTTTGAAAACAAACTTAAAATTTTTTTTTTTGGGGGGAGGGGTTGGGGGCATGTTTGAAGATAGGGACAAAATAAATTGTATTTTTTCAACAAAAAATTATTGTAATTTGAAGTTGGAATAGAGTTTTGGAAAATGTTTTCCATAAGTTTTGAAGGGAAGTCATTTTCCTTAATTTTGAGGAAACTGAGTTGATTTGGAAAACATTTTCCAAAACATTTAACCCAACCAAACATGAGAAAATTGGAAAACATTTTCCGGAAAATGTTTTCCTTCATACCAAACACACCCTTTGTCTTTCTGAATTATACTGTATGACGTAATATTTACCTTTTTTCTCTGTATGTCTTCCTGAATTATACTGTTGGAGGTGTATTATTTACCTTTTTTTCTCTTTATGTCTTCCTGAATTATGTTGTTGGAGGTAATATTTACCTTTTTTTCTCTTTATGACTTCTTGAATTATACTGTTGGAGGTAATGTTTACCTTTTTTCTCTTTATGTCTTCCTGTTTATCAGTCTTCAACAGTAAAATTCCAAAATTCAATATATTGTTGGGATAGACCCCGACAGCTGCAGCGTGTTGATGAGATTCCGTGACTTAAGACAATGTCAATCTCGAGTAGGCTAGCACCTAATTAAGTTGGCTAGTTTGATAACAAGTTCAGGATCACTGCTGCACTTGACAGCATAGAAAGGTAGAGTGGTGTTTTATTGCTGCTTCTATGCATTTATTGATCTCTTTTATATAGTTATAGAATGCCCATATATGACGAAAATAGCTTACGCTTATGAAGTATCCCTTATGTTACAAAATTGCAGGAAGACATCTCGTGCTCGAGCTCATCCATGTTTTCTCTGTTCTCATTTTTTTCCTTGGTCCGTTCTATTCATACAAGTGCAGAATGAATTGAAACAAAAGGAATATAGCTTTAAAGACTTCACATTGCAAGAAACGTTAAAATGGGACAAGGTATGCTCTGCTTATAGAGGCAGAGTTGTACTATCATAACTCAAAAACATTCATTACACATTAAAAGTTGACAGATCTATAGCTGAATTACACGAGAAACATAGAGAAAAACATAATATCCAGGAGGAAATAAGACTAATTAAATATCTAAACTATGTCAATCTTCGGAAAAGTGTATGAGACTTGGGAACTTTCTCCAATGACAGTCTTGATTGAGTAAAAACTTGGGATGTAGCTAGTCGCTGCAAGTCCAAGGTACACTTTAACCTTCGTAAACCTCTTTTCTTTTGGGTTGTAAGAAACTACTTGTGTGCCACGATCCCTTTGCATCAATATTTCTCCATCTTTCTAAGTTGAGATTGGTATAAATCTATCACAACTGATATCAGGTTGAATAGCATCCTTCAAAATGCGAGTTTTACTCCAAGATTCAGCTATTCCATACTCTCTCATCCACCATATATCAATGTACTCACTATCGTTAGGATTACACAAACATAGACAATTCCCCAACTCTACTAGCACCATTTGTAGGATGGAGCTTTCAGACCACGCGGAGCTAACAGGGACTTCACCTCTTCTGTCCAACTGTTAAAGGAGTAAATGCTGTCATTTTTTCCCGAATTCATCCAATGAACAACACCATTGACGTTAGCCTTACTAAATGTTATGGATAGAGGTTGTGGAGCCTCACCCACATAACTCCATTTTTCATCAACTCCAAGAGTATAAACCTCCAATTCTGATACTTGTGGATGTCTATCAAAATTACTAACTACTGATCTCAATACTTTATACTGCTAGAGACTTCACTAAAGCAGAATGCATAAGCAACACACTGAATCAGCATCGAGTATTAATAATTTATCGTCCTCGCTAAACAGACTGATTGTGTTGAGGCCTAAGTTTCACCTCCCTCCATTGGAATCGAGTATTAATAATTGTGGTAAAAAACTAAAAGTGTAAATAATTGGTTCATTTGTTTGTTGAATGGTCAAGATGTAATCCGATCTACGTAGGACACATATATTCATTAGATGACGAGATGTATCCATTCGATCTTTGTAGAATGCCATATCTATCATTCACTATAACGTTTCTGAATGGTTTTTTTTTTATGCAGATAAGCATTTACTTGTTCATAAGAAGAAGACAAGCAAGCCTGTTGTTTCTGCAGATGCTTACGAGATGTTAAAACAAAGCCATAAGGCCAACGTTTTTTTCCTTAGTTCGTTCTATTCAGACAAGTGCATAGTGAATTGAACAAAAGGAATGCAAATCTGACATATATTAAAAGCATCCATAAAACATTAAAAGTTGAAAGGTCTTATGCTAGATTACACGAGAAACATCGAAGAAAAACATAATATCCAGGAGGAAATAAGATAAATTAAATATCTAAACTAAGTCAATCTTCGGATGAGTATATGAGACTTGTAAGCTTTCCCCAATGACAGTCTTGAGTGAGTAAAAACTTGGGATGTACCTAGACGCTGCAAATCCAAGGTACACTTTAACTTTCGTAAACTTCTTTTCTTTTGGGTTGTAAGAAACTACTTGTGTGGCACGATCCCTTTGCATCAATATTTCTCCATCTTTCCAAGTTGAGATTGGTATAAATCTATCACGACAGATATTTGGTTGAATAGTATCCTTCAAAATGCGATCTTTAGTCCAAGATTCAGCTATTCCATACTCTTCCATCCACCATATATCAACATACTCACTATGGTTAGTATCACACAAACATAGACAATTCCCCAACTCTACTAGCGTCAAGTCGTAGGATGAAGTTTTCAGACCACGCGGAGCTAACAGGGTCTTCACCTTTTCTGTCCAACTGCTAAACGAGTAAATCCTGTCATTTTTATCTGTATTCATCCAATGAACAACACCATTGACGTTAGCGTTACTAAATGATGATTTGCATAGAGGCTCTGGAGCCTTGCCCACATATCTCCATTTTTCATCAACTCCAATAGTATAAACCTCGAATTCTGATACTTGTGGATGTCCTTCAAAAATTTTAAGTACTGATCTCAATACTTTATACTGTCGAGAGGCTTCACTAAAGCAAAATGCATAAGCAACGCGGATTCTTTCCTCCCGTTCAGGCATTTTAACCTTGTAATACTCACCCAAAAGAGGATTGCTAATGTAAACCGAATGATTAGTTCCAACATGACCATTCAACAAACAAACAAACCCATTACACGAACCAATTAATCGCAAGTTGGGTGAAGGGAGATGAAACATAGGGCTCAACACAATGTTTCTCTTTAGTGGTTGAGAATCATCTGCTTTGAGTTCCACAAGAAAATACACAGAGTCATTAACAGTAAGCAAAAGGCTTGGAAAATTAGATGATGATCTTTTGTGATACATGTTAAAAAATAATGGTTCTGAAGTTAAAAGATTATACCACAATTTACAAACCATCTTACAACAAAAAATCGACTTGATTGATAATCTCGAAAGAATTTCCAACATAATATCCCTCGAAAGGTCCATAATCGTGGTGAAATGAGAGATTCTTTCTTTGCAATGTCTCTTTAAAATCATAGAGCTTTCGGGGTCCATGACTGTCACTTTCTTTGAACAAATCGAGGTTCGACTAAGCCTAATCCCCCAAGCTAAAGCAGAGAGAGTTTTCTCAAAGAAAATAAAAGTGTGCAATGCTTTCAAAATCCCCAAGTACATCCCTGATCCCAATCCTAAAAGCACAATATTTTCCTTTTCAAAATTTGTTAGGAATACCTATTTTATTTATTAAAACAATATAATACGATACAATATAAAGCACTGTAAGGTATTTATTATTAAGTGAGGACCGTATGTTTGAGGAATTAGATTTTGATTAGGAGACTAATACGCCTTATTATAAGGGCTATTAATTATTATTCCTTATTTAATAGGAGTACTAATTATGTCTTATTTGTTTTCAGGATTAACATATCAATGGTGAATTTTTTTTCAAAATTAATTTAATATTTTCCTTGTCTTGTTTTGACATACACAAAGTAATTGTGGCGCATGGTTTCGCAAATGACATGGTATTCGAAATACTAATATGGGTTGCAACTAAGTTTCTCATGCGATTCAAGTGTGTTTCTAAATACGACATGATTTATCCTTGTAATTATTTCAACCATAGCTTTAGTCCAAGATTCATACATATAATCAGTCAAACACAGACAATTCCTCAACACTTTCCTCCAATCCCATTGGGGAGATTTAATTTTGAAATATTCACCGAAAAGAGGATTGTTAATGTAAAGTACTAAATTACCATTCAACAAACAAATGAACCCGTTATGTGAACCAATTACATATATACATTGTCGATTCCACTGGAGGGAGGTGCAAATTAGGCCTCAACTCAATGATTCTGTTACTGGGGCAAGAATAATAATGCTTTGAGTTCTAGAAGCCAAGGGTTGGAATAACCATCCGAAACCATAATGCAGGAAAAATGAGATGATCTTGTATCATACACCGTAACAAATAAAGGGTCGGAAGTTAAAAAATTATACCAGAGTTTGCAAACAGTCTTACCTCAGAAAACAGGCTTGATTGGCAATCTTGATAGTATTTCCATCATAATCACATTTGGAAGGTCCATGGCTGTCTCTTCCTTCTGATTTCAATGAACAAAAAGAGAGCTAAGTGATTTATTATTAAGTGAAATTATGTATTAATTAATTAAGAATATGTATATGCTCTGCTTATAGAGACAGAATTGTACTACCATAACTCAAAAGCATCCATTAAACAGTAAAAGTTGACATACCATAACTCAAAAGCATTCATAGAACAGTAAAAGTTGACAGGTCTTAAGCTAGATTACACATAGAAGCAAAACATAATATCCAGGAGGAAGTAAGACAAATTAAATATTTAAACTATTTTAATCTTCGGATAAGCATATGAGACTTGTAAACTTTCCCCAATGACAGTCTTGAGTGAGTAAAAACTTGGGATGTAGCTAGTCGCTGCAAGTCCAAGGTACTCTTGAACCTTCGTAAACTTCTTTTCTTTTGGGTTGTAAGAAACTACTTGTGTGCCATGATCCCTTTGCATCAATATTTCTCCATCTTTCCAAATTGAGATTGGTATAAATCTATCACAACTGATATCTGGTTGAATAGTATCCTTCCAAATGCGATCTTTAGTCCAAGATTCAGCGATTCCATACTCTTTCATCCACCATATATCAA